CATATGGCGGGAGATTTGAGTGTCAAAGTCTCTCTCTCTCTCTCTCTCTCACACACACACACACACACACACACACACACACACACACACACACACACAGTGTCACACACACTTGTGGACATGCTGATCTCATTCGGAATCAGCGTTGCAGCCCTCATCCTCAGATGGCTGTTCGCTGCAGTCAGCTGATTCCAAGTCATCCTCCACGACCGTCTTGCGCTTGAGGCGCTGTTTTTTTTTTTTAACTGGTGTAGTGGCCGTGTCGGTCTTCTGCTTTCGCGTTCTGCCACGAGGACTTTCGACTGTGCAGGAGCGTCCTGTGATGGCTCCTTTCTCTCCCTGCCCACTCGGCTCACCCACAGGTTGTCATGCTGGACATCCTCCCTCATTGCGGGGAATTCCGGTATCTTCTTCTCGGACTCCGGAAACTCCGCTGGCCGGGGCCTGCGTGTGTAGACTGTTGTCGCTGTGGGATGGGGCTCCTCTTCCTCCCCGCCTTGCACCGTGCCTTCCTCTTCTTCTTGGTGCTCCATCTCCTTTCCCTCCTGTGGTTGCACCATGCCCTCCGCCTCTTCTTCCTGTTCCATGTAATCTCCCACCTCAGCCTCCTCCTCTTCTCCTTCTTCCTCAACTTCCAATGCCTGATTGATTGTCTACCCCACTTCGTGGCCTTATGGGTACTCCCTGGCTTGTTTGAGACCTATCTCGATCTCTCTCCGGGTCGGGATAGCTGCACGGCGGGCCTCCTCCTCCATCATACATTTGTTGACGAGTTCGGTCTCCCGGTCAGCCATAGCCTTGGCACGGTTCGCATCCTCCTCATCTTCGTCCACCCTCGTTTCCAGCAACGTCTTGACATCCGTGTCTAGTCGTGCGAGCTCGACATCAGATTGCGGATTGTACAGTGCAGTTTCCCTTACCCCGAGCTCTGTCGCTGCTAGGTGTGGCTCTTCTCTGCGTTGTCGTCTGGTTGGCCTCCTTCCGACGTACGTCGTGCCGGGGACGGACGACTCCGGTCGTAGCTCGAAAGCGGAGTCATCGTCGTCATCCTCTTCGCTGCCACTCGAGTCCTCCGACAATCCGCACTTCCCCTTCCACAGCTCGTCATCCAAATCACTGTCATCCGTGAGTTCTTCGTCCTTGTCCTCGAGATTTTTTTGAACCCTTCCCTTCGGAGTCTTTGTGAGCCTCCGTTCCCGTACAAGCTCCTCCTCTGCCTTCTCAGCCTCATCCTCGGGCCCCTTCGACACTGATCCACCATTCTCTTCAGGCTCCGGGGCGGGCTCGATGAAGGCACACCACAAGTACACAAATCCGTTGTTCTTAGTCTCCGGAACACGCAGTAGCTGCATGTTCCAGTGTATGTACACTAGCTTCGCCAACCTTTCTGGCGACAGCTTGTTCCTCCGTTTGGAATGGATGAAGTCCATGGAAGCCCAGTTCCTCTCTGCCGCTGATGCGGTGCTCCACATGCCCATAACCTTGATTGCAACCTTCTGCAACTCGGGCACGTCGCCACCGTGTGCTGCCCACCATTCTGACGGTGTCCTCTTGTCAACATCTGCCTTCGCTGTGGGGTCCCACATCTTCGTGTCATTCCTTTTCGGGTCGTTCCTTGTAGGTTTGGTGTGGAACTCATTCAGGTCACTTCAAATGTCAAGGTGCGCTTGCCCTTTCCATTCACCTCCAACCTGCCTCGAGAGAAAGCGCATGGTATTCTGCACAAACGCACTGTCTTGGTCATGCAACCACCTCAGTTCTCTCCTGCGCGGGTCCAAAAGAAAGGCTGTTGCATGGGCGGGCTGCCGCATCATCTTCATGCGATCTTTGACTTTCTTCATCACGCTCGCCCGTTGCTCCACCGTAAGAACGACATGGCTAAGCTTCCTCTCTATCATGTCGTCATACTCGACAAGGTTTGTGGGCCCGGTACCGTCCTGATCCATCCACCTCAAGAGGCCGTACACAGGCTCCATCACCTCAACCACCTTGTTCAACCCCGTCCACCACTCATTATCACTCCTCAATGTGAAGTACACCAGATCCGATCTGGCCCTCAACTACGACGTGGACCATTGGATCGCATTCCACTTTACTGCATTCCGACCGTTGACCATGTCCTTCAACACCGCCCTCCTGTCATATATCCTCTCCAACATTTGGTAGACTAACCCGAAGCGCACCTCCGTGGGCCGAAGAAGAGACAACGAATTGTCCACTGACATCATCAGACTGTTTGTGCTATGGTGATTTCTGATGAACTTGACGATTGTGTGGCCCCTCTTAACGGTATGCTTCACCCAATCGAGTTTGTTGAGGTCACGCAAGAGAAGGCTGCAGCAATGCGCAGCGCAAGGAAGCCACGAAATCCTTGCTACCTCATTGTCCGTTCATCGCTCCAAGCTCTGAGCCACCCTTTTGTTGACCTCCGAGTTGTCAGTGCAAATCCCATTGATTCAAAGCAGTCCGATTTTGCTTATGATCTGCTCCCAAAGTTTCGCCGACGCAGGTCCGGTCTTCTTCCTCCCGGACATTGACACCGTCGCGACCAAAACCGCCCCATCCACCCCAGCTGCCAAGAAGTTAATCATGGGTCACTCGATCCGTTTGTGATGAAACTACACCCGCTCACATCCCAACAAGTTGTCAACGGCTCCACCGTCTTCTGCACTCGCATGTACACAATGTCCAACATGACGGTCCTCATGTGGTTGAAGGAGGGCAGTTTCACCTCCGGTCTTGACTTTGCCACCTGCATGTATAGTTCATGGAGTTTTTGGTTGGTATCGAAGTTCAGGAAGTTGAACGGGATCCCAGCATGAAACATGGCCTTCGCCCATGCAATGTCCAGCTTCTTCTGCGCATCGTTGTCCACCCACCTCTTTATTGTTGACTGCTGCAATGAGGACAGTCGAGTGTTCGACCCCGACGCCTCACCCACCGCCGCCTCCAACGTGTTCTCCTTGTGCAAATCCCCTGCATCACATGGTGGAGCAGCCCTGCCCGCAGTGGGCGGTGGTTGTGGCTCAAGGTATGCGGGAACTTCAACCACCTCGTCGACCTTCTCCGTCTGATCGACCCCCCCTTCCGGAATCCCCTGCAGATGCCTGTAATTCTTCCGCAAGTACCGCATATTCTTATCACCCGACAACACTTTCTCCCCGAACTTGACGCGCTCATTCACCATTTCTCCTGTGTGCGATGGACACGGCTTCTGCGTCTTCAGGTAATGTTCCACCGCTCTTGAGTTCGTGCCCCTCCAAATTTGCATGCACAACCGACACCTCACCCAATACTCGCCTCTCCCTTTCTCCCCGGCTTCTTGACCCAGTTTTGCGTACTTCCACACAGGCTTCTCCCTCTGCAACTTGTCCTGCCTCGCCTTGTCTTGTGGAACGAACAACGAAGGGTCCGTTGCCGGCGTGGGGTCTTTGGAGGTCACTATGGATGTGGGTGTAGCGGAGGTGCTTGCAACTTTTTCTTTTCCTTTTTCTGCTGCCCTTTTACCCCTCCTTCGTCCAGACCCGCCACTCCCCCCTCCAATGTCGCTGGCACCGCCCGCCATAGTGTCGTGGAAGTAGAGGATGCAAGGACAACCAGCGAGGGAAAAACCAAGTTCAAATATCGGAAGAAGAAGAAGAAGTAGCAGAAGAAGAAGAAGAAGACTTAGGGAGGAGGAGGAGAAAGGAGGAGGAGAAGGTGGCGAGAAGAAGACGAAGGGAGGGGGAGGAGGAGGAGGGGAGAAGAAGACGACGGGAGGAGGAGAACCTGCCGATTTTGAGTTGCGTTGACGGAAAAAAAAAAAAAAAAAAAAA